CATGAGTTTCCTAACTGGTTGGGTGTTTCTTCAAAAATTAATTCGCCTCCAACACTGTTTGAAAGCGAAAACTCCAAGTCACTAGTGTTGCGTCTTTTGCCAGCTATTCAATGTTCTGAACTGTACCCGTGGTGCAAGTAGACTATTTGCGCCCTACATGCTACGAGAAGTGGGCGGGCTCTCGACCCAGCCAATGAGGGCTTCACTTCCGCGGAAGGAAAAAGCAATTTGCGCCATTGCTACATGAAAACTGCTAACAAAACAAAATCTCATTATGTAACAACTGCGATTAATTGCCATAAACAAGCAGCCGGTTGAAATTTTGACCTTGTCCGTCAAATAATATGCAATTATTCCAAAGTGGAGTTTAAAAACCACTCGTCATGATAATGAGCTAGATGAATAGTACTGGCCAGGCCTTGTAAATGGTAATACTGTGGCGTTTGGGTTTTTTGCCCTCTTTGAGGCGTTTTTCCTCAATCTCTGGGTTGCTAAGCTCGAAAGCTGCCGCTTGAATCGAAATTTCCTCCACACATGGAAAGGTGTCGACTCTGTTTGCTTAATCGTGATTATTCGTGTTTATCTTGCTAAACGTTGATAAAATGCGATATGTCGGATCGGTGTCGAGTATTTTTGCCCGTTTCGAGTAATACCTGGGACAGTCAATGTCAGGTTTGTGATAACAGAGGAAAACACGCCTTTCCGTTCATGTAAGTGGCTATTTTTAGCTTTTGAGTGCCGCATTTTGCTGGAAGCTGGATTGTGCCCTTAACCCGGATTTTTTCGGTATGTTACTGCTTGTTTTCATTAAGAAATCACTTGACTTTTAAGCCCAGCCAAGAAGTTTGGCCAGAGAGGCTCAAAACTTCTACAGCATTCTTTTGGCAATGGCTTTCTTCTGTTAAGCACTCTAATTTTCCCTTTGCAACCGGTTTTTATGGGGATTTTCCTTTTCCCTGATGGAGTTCCCAACATTTTTCCTGATCCGATTTTTACGAGCGTTACTCTTAATCCTTGATACCGGTTGAAACGCCAGATAAGGCAGCAATTAGCAATTTCCTAAGCACGTTAAATGGAATCGTACGCTGCGTGGTGTTTGCACTTGAAATTACTACTTTTAACCTTAGACTTTACTCTTCGCTTGTGTTAACAAACACCACAAGAATTCTGGGTGTCTCTTCGTTGGTCTAGACGGGAGCAGGCAACTTTTTTATTTTGCGTCCTCATGCTCTCCTCAGCTGAGTTTCAAAAATTAATTTTGCAAAAACGAAAGTAGCTCGAAAGTTGCGCGTTACTCCACTGGGAAAGTTTAAGTTCGCGCTAAATGTTGTGGAAGGTTTATTCTCCCCACAAAATCTGGGATATTTGGGCAGGGTTTAGAAAGAACAGTTGACTCGCCTTCCTACGCCTTTGATTGTTGTGTAGATGTCTTTTCAATTTATTTTTGCTTGAGCTCGACCCGATGGGCAAAAGTCCACTTTATAACTACCGGAATGTTTAATACTCGCAAAAAATCTATGGATTGTTTACAGGCGTTTGAAACTACACTTGACAAGCGCTCTAACGCCTCGCCTAGATATGTAAGCCATCTTGG